TTGGCACATCCGCATCCCCTCCAATAATGCCCTCGCTAGTTATGCCTCCGTCGGTAATGCCTCCTGCTCGTGGATGATCCCATTACAATTTCTTTAGCTCCAAGAAACTCTATCGAATCCGATGATGGATGAACCATTTAGTTCATGAATAACTAGTAAGTAATACATTTTACATGCGATAATTAATTTTTTTATTTTTATATATTATATTAAAATTATTAATTCACTTATTTATTATTTATTTGTTTTGTTCGACGGTTTGATTTCATCAAGTAAGTGCTCCACAAAAATCATTGTAATTTTTAATGAACGAGTTAGACGTCGATGACTCCATATGTAAGTCTCGTCTTCATGGAGACGAAAGACTTCTATTTTAATGACTTTAGGGTAGCATATTAATTATTTGCTTATATGTCATTTAAAGTGTTAATTTAACATGAAAAATACTAATATTATTTTTCTTCATTCATGTAGAAATATTTTTTATGGGATGCGATCATCGACGCACCGATTAAGGATGTATGGGAGAGTTTTACATAGAGGTGGTACATTGACATGCTTCACAAGCTGAAGCATAATAGTAATAGATGTATGTTAAACGGGAGATGTGGGAAGCATGATGATGGGAATGGGTCACTTCCGAGTATCAAGCTCGATCTCGGTAGGCGTTCCGGAGTCGTATGTCAAAGACGGGTGGTGTCAACGACCATCTAAGCATCGTTGACGGATCCATCTCTTTGATCGAGCACATCGATCGTTTGGTAAATCCTATATTATACATTGTGTTATAAATTAATTTTTATATTTATTTCATCTCATATTATTTTGTTTATTCTTTTTAGCATAATAAATTAGGTCCTAACTCAAAACCTTATGTTCCGTTCTTGATCACTCACGAGCGAGAAAGATAGAATATTCATTGACAAGCAATCATAGACAATAAGGTTTTATACTTTTTAAAATATATATACATCTACTGATATAATCTAAAAAATATATTTATGATTTAATATTATAATTATTTCAACGACATCGGAGTGCAAGTAGTCAATGCAAAAGCGATTGCTAAGGAGCGAGAAGGAGGTTAATTCATTATTTCTAGATATTGACATATCCAAGATATATTTGGATGCTTGTTAAAAGAGAGAAGAAGCAGAGAGTTATTAGAACTCATGCGTCCCACTATCCACATTCGATCCTAGCTCCTTCTCTCGCCACTTCATGATATCCCGATGGTAATGTCTAGAAGGTTTATGTCCGGTACGAAGATGGATCAAGGAGATGAAGGTTACCATCCGATAACGAGTCAATCAAGTTAGCGACATACGGACTCGATTGCGGACGGTGATAGGGTTGTTACGGAACTTTTAGCGAGACTAACGTCCCTCCTGCCGACCCTCCCATAACCTGGGAGACAACCGTTCCTCTCGACACCTAAAAGTTGGAAGATGATTTAGGAAATGATTTTAATGAGAATTAGAGTTGTTTTTTTTAAAAAATATATATATATATATAGTATTGCAATTAACAATATATGGCTATTGATTTAAAAAATTAAAAACTCATTCATTTAGCAATAGATTTAGCGATAAAATTGCAAGTATTTTAGCAACTTTTTTAACGACAACCCATTCCATCTCTATTTAGCAATAGATATAAGTGAAAATAGCAATGGCATGGGGCCGCAAATGACACCGGATAGACGACTCGTTTTAAATTGATTTAATAACGAAAATTCAACAAAATAATGATGGAAAAAAATTTTGATCGCTAAGGAAATAGCGACCACCACATTGGCGATGGAATTAAAATTGTTTCTAATCTATCACTAATATATAGTGACGGATTTTTGACATATAGTGACAGAAAATCCATACTTTGTGCTAGATTTTTATAGTGAAAAAAAAATAACATGACTTTAAACTTCTTGAAATGTTAACGCTTGAATCCATACTTTGTGCCGACAATATTGCAATATATTAAGACCAATTGGTCTAAATGACCTTAAATTAAAAACTAAACTTTTTTAACCTATAAATTGTTCGTTCAATAGTAAACGAGCTGATAAAAATATAAATTTTTTGTTAATGTGTAAGATTTGAAGTTTAGAATCATATTTAGGGGTTAAATTTTATTGTTTTCTCTCGAAATAAGATTAGACTTATCTCTAATTGAATAGGATAAAATAAAAAAATAAATAAATAACTAAACTAAACTAAACTTCTTTTAGCGGAAAAAATATATCATTGAAGAGATACATGCCAAGTATCCATACATAACGTCAGATAAAAAAGAAAATTTATAAATCCAAATAAAAATCTTATCTTGAAACTGATTGGAGGGGAACTCCTTTTTTTTTAATCGCAACCTGCATCATAAATGTTCCTATATGTATTTCGGCAAATACCGAACTCTATTATTGCCATAGTGAATTGAATGCACTTCCCTTCATTTATTACACCCAAAACTTAAAAAAGAAAAAATAAAAAATAAAAAGATTAATCATTTGGAAAAAATAGACACATAAATCTCTCTAAAATGCTCGAACTGCCCATCAAAATGCATGGACCACGAGTAGCTCCATTAATGATTAAAAAAGTGACAGAATAGTATTGCCATGATGAGAGAAATAAACCAAATTAATTAATCACACAGAAGAGGCTCAAAGCCAGCCTCTTGTGATTGTTGTGCTGTTGTGTTGGATGTTTTATTGTGAGATAAACAACGTTTCATAATTGATTAATCATGTAACGTACTTATAAATATTTAAAACAGTTAATAGTGTTTGGTTAAATTATATTGTGCGTATATTAATTTGAGATATAAAATGTTCAATAAAGACTACAACATGCTAAAAATATTTTAAAAAATTATATTTTATTTATATTAAATGATTTAATTTTTTATGAGAGTAATTTTTAAGTTCAACAAACTAAAATAAATAAAAAGATCAAGTAGAATGATAATATATACATGCACATCGTTTTGATTGTTTTGATAAAATCAATGATATATATATATATATATATATATATATATGTATATATATATATATATATATATATAACCTTTTAATCGTTTTTTCGACTTCAATATAGAACATGTGTTCTATATTGAAATCGAAAAAACGATTAAAAGGTTATGTTAATGAAAAGCAATGTAAGAAAAAACGATTAAAAGGTATATATATATGTATATATATATATATATTCAGAAATGATTTAAAGATGGCGTTATGGAATCTGTTCTCCGCACGCAGTATAGAAGCGATGACCAGTGAATTAAGAAGACGAAGGAACCCTGTCGCGAAGGTCAAGTTAAAAGGATGTGGGTACGTGGCATTTTTTCATGCTGGTGACAGCTAATATGAATCCAGAAAGCATGGATTGACACTTCGAGCCGGAAAATGATGGATGGTTAAGGCTGCGTTTGTTCTGGAGAAAACAAGTTCCTGTAACTTGTTTTTTATTTTTCAGTGTTTGTTTCACATTTAGAAACAAATCAATGAAAAATAATTTTCAGTCAACGAAAAATGATAGAGTAATTTTAAAAAAATATTTTCTCAGTTTCAAAAGAGAAAAACATTTTTCTTCTCATCGAATCTGTCTCGCTTTCTCGTTACATAACTCTATCTAGATATATTTTAACAATTTTTTTCTCTATCTCTTTTATTTAAAATATATTATATTAATTTTTAATTATTTCTTATCAATTATTATTAATTATTTAATTATTTTTTCTCTCTCTTGACTAATATTTGATTTTTTTGATTAATAGATACATTAAATATTCTTAAGAACCATTTTTACGCCTTAAAATTATTTTTATAATAAATATTTTAATAACTTATCTCTCTTTTTTTTTACTATTGTCTCAAACATTACTTAAACTATAGTTAAATGATTGAAAATGATTATTATAAGACTATAATTTTTTGTAAAAAAGAAATTAAAATTAATTAATTCATCAATAAATACATTATTTTTTCAACACTATTCATTTGCAATTAAATCAATAATTTGTAATTTTAATCAATTATAAAATTTTGTTGATAATTCTAATGAATAATTAGTTACAAATTATTCCAACATTAATCTTTTGAGATCAAATAAATAATTATCTATAAATGATAACTAATAATTTATAAAAATATTTTTTTAGACTAAATTATCAGTTCATTTTCTTTAAAAAATAAAATTCTTAATTGAGTTATTAAAATAATAATGCTAAGATTACTTAGAATTTTTTTTTACTAAATATGAATATTGACTTAATTTTGTCCCAAGCAATTTTAATGATTTGGTTTGATTGTTAAAAAAATACATTTTATTTTTTGAATTAAAATTTTAGAGTTAGTATTGATGAAAATTTATTAAATCTTTCTAAATGTATCTTATATTATGAAATTATGAATATGTCTTTTTAAAATTTTCTCAAAACTTATTGATATAACAATCACATAAGTTTTTGTATTTTAATTTTTTGTATCAAAAAAATATTGAAATATATTTTCTAACAGTTTTTTCATATATTATCAAACAACAAAAATATATATTATTGAAAAAAATTTTCAAATAAAATTTCTCTAAAAATTTAATTTTCATATGGAATTTGTTTTCTCCAAACAAACATAGCCTAGAAACTGGAGACTCATCAATCGTACGATTTTGCATGACAATATAATTTTTATTATTATTTTATTGTATGGTATAGATAAGAGAAAGATTGCACTTCACATTTATTTTTTTCCAAAGAGAAGGGACACGTCGCACTATTGATAAGCAGCGGACGGCACCGAATCCTTTTGACTTCATTTTGTTTCCTATCCTTCTGTTGGTTTGCTATTTATACACAAGTACATGCCCAGACGGACCCTACTTCCATTTCTTTGTTCCAATTTGCAGCCAAAAAAAAAAAAAAAAAACTGAAGCAAAACCTCTCCTCGATCTCTACCTTCTAATTTCTCTCTAGCAAGCACAGTAACGTATTTTTACTATAACATGGGGAGGGCACCTTGTTGTGACAAAAATGGGCTAAAGAAAGGGCCATGGACCTCGGAAGAGGATCAGAAGCTGATTGATTACATACAAAAACATGGCTATGGAAACTGGAGGACACTTCCAAAGAATGCTGGTATGTTAATTGGTTTATTGGTTTTTTTATGGTTTGATAATTGTAAGGTTTTGTGGAGTTGGTGTTGATGGGTTTTTCTTGTTTTGTTTAGGGTTGCAAAGGTGTGGAAAGAGTTGCCGTCTTCGTTGGACCAACTATTTGAGGCCTGATATCAAGAGAGGTCGGTTTTCTTTTGAAGAAGAGGAGACAATAATTCAGCTACATAGTATATTGGGAAACAAGTAAGTCTTCTTTTGACAAACATGCACGGCTTAGTTTTTCCACAATTTGATATAGAAAATTTGATTTTAACTTCCTTTTTCTCTTGTTTGGTGATATTGTATAGGTGGTCTGCCATTGCTGCTCGCTTGCCTGGAAGAACAGACAATGAAATCAAGAACTACTGGAACACACACATTAGAAAAAGGCTCCTAAGAATGGGAATTGATCCCGTGACTCATAGTCCAAGACTTGATCTTCTTGACCTCTCCTCGATCCTAAGCTCATCCCTTTACAACTCCTCTCAAATGAACATGTCAAGAATGCTTGGGGTCCAACCTTTAGTGAACCCAGAACTTCTAAGGCTAGCCACATCTCTCTTATCTTCTCCACGTGACCAAACCCAAAATTTCGTTGTCCAAAATGGTCATCAAGAAAACCATCTTTCCAACCCAGAAATCCAACAAAGCCAATACCAATCAATGTTTGATCAAGCTAATAACCAGTTCCAGACCTCAGGTCAAGAAATGCCTACTTGCACTACATTGAATACCGCCCCATGTGTTACATTTTCTGATGAAGCACAACTTATGGACCCTAATGTAGAGCAGCAATATCAATCAAGTACTATTACCAACTTTAGCTCTCCAAATTCTCAGTTAAGTACTCATGATCAGTGGCAAAGCAATGGAAATATGGGTTCAAATTTAACTCATGAAGATTATTTCGTGCCTGCGGTATCAAGTTACAACAGCAACAACTACTATGGGTCTGACCTTGTTGACCCTTCTTCTGAGACCTCAACTTTTATTTCCAATAACAGCAACCAAAACTTTGGTTTTGCTTCAGTTTTATCAACTCCTTCTTCAAGTCCAACACCATTGAACTCCAATTCAACATTTATCAATGGCAGCAGCACTGAAGATGAGAGGGACAGCTACTGCAGCAACATCTTGAAATTCGAAATCCCAGATTTTTTGGATGTTAGTAACTTCATGTAATCCATGTAATCTAATGTCATGTATCGGAAATTAATGAAATTGATCAAACAGGTTTTTTTTTTCATATTTTAATAAGTAGAAGTTTCCATTATTGATCATCGTATTTCATACCGTTCTTTTAATCCCATTAATAATTAAAATGCCATGCATCTTATTATAATCACATTTCCTTTTCTAGAGTTTTTTACTTTCTATTAATGATTATAAAAAGAAGATGCTTCTGTACCTATCACGTAACCCTTACGGAATATAGCACATAATTAATTATATTTAATAGTTGTAAAAACGAATTCTATTTAATACTGTTTCTGCATATACATATAGCAATTCTGAGCTTTCCCCAAATGGCCAGTATTTATCTATAAGAGGAAGGATAGGAATCTAGAGACATGAACAAAAAATCAATATTAATGGATCTTACTTAAGTTAATTTAAATATTTATAAAATTATTTTTTGTCAGACAAGACCAGTATAACTCAAATAATTACCACCCTGTCTTATCTTAGTCCAGGAAGAGAGGTTTGTTTTCAAGCCCTCCCTCCCCATCCCCTAGGTCAAAACTTGTTTATTATTATTTAACACAGATTTAAATTAATAATTCTTTATCCAAAACTTATTTTAATGAATTAGGATTCGAGTTTTAATAACGGTAATTTTTCGATCATAATAATGTAACGAGAAAGGTTATTTCTTTTATATATGTAGTTCAATATCTGTTGAACTTCTTATTAAGCCAAAAGAAAAAAAAGTTTAAAAATAAATATATTGTGTATCCAAAACTTTAATGAATTAGGATTCGAGTTTTAATAATGGTAATTTTTCCATGATAATAATGTAACAAGAAATTAAAGTTATTTCTTTTATATAGTTCAATATCTATTGAACTTCTTATTAAGCCAACAGAAAAAAAATAGTTTAAAAGTAAATATATTGCATAGGAAGAAAGTTATTAATCATGAAAAATCATTTTATGGCAACTACGCAGGTCACTAAAATTATATGGATAGGTGTATATCTGGTATATATATTTATATTTATCATTATAAGTGTAAAAAAAATAAAATTTTTCACGTCTATAAAATTCAATATGAGCTTTTAAACTTCTAGATCTAACCAATATCCAAGAACTTTCATTCCAATTTTCTATATATGTGGGATTTTGAAAGATAAATTTATGAGAATTATATCTTTATCGTACAACTAAACAAAAAAAGCACTATCAACGAGTTATTAGTTCGGTAATAAACGATTTGATCTTTAAATTGGTTTTTTAACATTTATCAAAAAAAAGTTAAACTTTATCATTTTTTTCTGAAAGAAATTAATTATGTTTTTACTATTGAATCAAAATACTCAATAAAATAAAATAAAAAACACCATTTATAATCTGATCGAATTTGTTTCATATTAATATTACCTCAAGTTTGAATTCAAAAGGAAATTGTATAACAACAAAAATTTGTGAAAGAAATTAATCAATTATTTTATATTGAGAAAAAAACAGGTTTTGTCTCAATAAGTAAAAATTAATGAAAAATAACCAGACCCCTAAAAATAAATAAAGAAGACTAACGTTTGGAAAACAAAAAGAAAAAGAACAGGAACAAATCTGTACAAGCATTCAATCATAGGGAAGTGAAACACTGCTCCAAAAGATCCCGACAAATAGTCAAAACCCGGTGACGTTTCCGGCAAGTAACAGCCGGAGTACGTAAAATTCGACAAGTGTCGCTGCCACCTGTAAGATTAACAGTCATTTCACGTACTAATAAAGTAGTAATTTACATGGGAATTATGGTATACTTTGACCCCAAAAAGTGTGCACGTGTCGACCCTTTAGGGGTGACTTAAATTTTTGGAAGTGGGGACCACGACTAACTTTATTGAAAATTATGGCGTGGGTCTTGTGCTGTTTTTATCTCTTTATTATCTTCTCCTCATGCATCATTAATTATTTTCCGGTGTCAAAGCAAAGATGATATTAATGACGTCAGAATATTAGTAGATGACACGTGGAATCAATAATAGAGAAATGGGTCCCATTAATTTAGGTTTAATTAGAGTTACTGGTTGACCCGGTGACAATTATGGGGTCTTTTCCAGTTTCGAGGGTTAACCGTCCACTGACCCATGCTCGCCCATTATTCCTTGAGCAACTGAGATTAGTGGTGCCTTGCTGTGTTAAGCATAAAGAAGAAGTACGTAATAGAACTATTGAATGAAAGTGGCATGATATAGTTAACTTAATTACTTAATTACTTATCATCAATATTTTTGCAATCCTGCATTCACATAACTTCCAAAAATTTAAGTTATTTATTGAAAATTTTGTTCGCATGAGGATACAAGTTATTATTAATTTCAAAATTACCACTTAATATTAAAAATAACTAAAAACCTAAAATAGACAATGATTCATATATTTCAAAATAAGGAGTTGATTATTTTTTTAGAAAGATATCAATCACTCAAAAACATAATTTTCTAGGAAATATATTATGTTTACTTTAGTTCTAAAATTTATCTCTTAAAAAGTTTTATTTTTGTTAAATTATTCCTAAGTCAAAATTTCAAATTTTATTTCCTCAACCAAATTATTTTTCTTTTATTTTTGTTTGTGACATCATATTGAAACGATCATCGAACTCTTTCGTTGGATGTCTCGTCAATTCAACGTCGAATTCGGTTTAAGTCTCGACATAATCGATATATCGGAAAATGACCTAATTACTAAGAAGTAATTGATTTGAGTTAACATCATCCTTATTTGATAAGAGACTTTGTTAAATTTTTTCTCGGTATTTTCTTTATTTTGCTTTTTTTAAAAAAAAAATTCTTTTACCTAGCATTTTCTCTCTTTTTTTGTTCTTCTAGTTTTTTTTAATCATTTTATTATTATTATTATTATTATTTTATCTACTTTTTATTATTTTATTTATTTTTGATTTTTTTATATATTTTTTTGTTGGTGGGAAATTATTATCGGTTCCTAAAAATTAAGAGACTTAATGATTCGTCCACTTATTAACTATCTAATCTAATTATCGAGATAAAATCTAAAAATTAAACATTTTTGGCATAAATAAATAAACATAACAAGACAATTCAAAATGTTAAACCTAAATTAGGCATGAAGTAAAAGGCATGTATTTAAAAAAAAAAAAAATCAAGACCGATTTATCTAAGAGAATGCTAAAAATAGGTTATTGGGTCCTTTGGGCTTATTGGGCTAGGCTAGCCTTTCCTTTTCTTTCGAGCCTAGGCTGATCTAATACACAACAACTCCCTCTAATATTTTTCATTCCCCCCTCCAAATTAAAATAGATCAAAACCAAACATTTCATCTCTCTCGCCTTCGTTTTCTTCTTTCTCATTCTTTTCATTTCTCGCCTCGTAAACCCGGTTCTTCCACTATCTCTATCTTCCTCTCTAAGCTTCACTTTAATCGGATTGGTCGACCGCCCATCTTCTCCTTCGAACCCAAAAACTTACTCATTAGCCTTTTTATCGAAATCGAATCCATAAACCCCTTTTTTGTTTTTCTTTTCTTTTATACCTCCCTCTTATTCGGTTTCCCTAAATCTTTCCGATATCGAGCAACCTCGACCCTATAAACCTTGTTTCATAAACCTTATCTCTATCTCTCACATTTTCACTTGAAAACCCAAAAACCCTTTTCTATCTCTATTGAGTCCTAAACTACGATTGAAACTTGAAACTAAACCGAGAATCCTTAGAATCGAATCTTCATGTGATCTTGAATCCCTCTTTTCTCTCCATATTTCATGAATCCCTAAGACCCAAATCACCTTCTTTTTTTCACAATCCAACCCTAAATCCAAAAACAAGACCTAGAATTAGGGTGTTCGATTGATTTCAAAAAATTTTACTTGGTTTTCGATTAATCAAATTTTTCAAAAAATAACCGAAACCAAATGAATTGTTATTTAGTTTTTCGATTTGATTTTGAATTATATCTATTTTGGTGTTTGGTAATTCGATTTTTATTTGTAATTATCTATACATTTGAAAGGACCATGCACTTTCAAAAAAATAAGTTTGGTACTTGCATTATTGCATTACATAAATATGATTTATGAAACCAAAAGCCCAAAGATAAGGGCCGATGGCCACTACCACTCGCCCACTGGGCGATGGCTATATGTTGTTGTGGCCGAACTAATCACCGTAACATCTTGGTTCTTCAATGGGTCGGGTACCCAAACCATCTCGATATTGAGACGGCCTTTGGGCTTACTTTAACGTAACTAACTCGATCGTAGTAAAGTGAATATGGGTATATGAATTGTTTAGGCCTAAGAAGACGTAGAAGGATAAAATCATAAATATGCCCAAAAATATAATTCCTTTACGTTATCCTATTTTTCCATATAGCTAGCTCTCTTTTGGCATTTCTCTACTAGACGCGGAATTTATCAATAAAATATGCTAATGTAAGCCAAGAGACATTGGGGAAGCTAATATATGTACCCCAATAATTCTTCTTCTATATATTCGGTTAGGATATATGAAGGAGACCGTCATACATTCTAAATTTCTAATGGCCCCTTTCTCAATTTCTAAACGACATAACATTCAAAATGTCAAAAGCAATTAATATTCATTAAGATGAGTTTAGGAGATGAGTTAAGTTGAATTCATAGTTCACTCATTAGTATTTCTTCTTGCCTTAAGTTAAATTTAGCTAGCTAATGAAGTCATGTCATGTAATACTCGGAAGATTTTAGATCTCTTTATATTCCTATGACATTAAAAGATATGAGTTTAAGAGCATTCTTGGTGTGAATGCCAAGAATACGAGAGATTACAATTCTTGACAAGAAGCACTTTTTCAACTTTTAGTTTGTAATCAACATCAACATTAATCCAAGCATATTCAGATCATTATTATAAAGCCAATATACGGATCATATCCCAAGAAAGCAGCATGTTATGCTACAAAGAAATTGCCATGTCATACCATAAAATGCAAACATTCATGGATTGATAATGGTACGACGTCAACAAAAAAGAAAAAACTTTCACTACGAGAAGAATTATAATTGTTATGACCAAGTTCTTCCGGGATAGAAGATCCAAAGATCATTGAACAAAGAGCATAGAAAAATGGTAAGCATTATAAAACATACTTCAACTTTATTTACTTTATTCAAATACATATTTCAAACATAGTAACAACATAAATATTCATTAAACCTAACGAAACACCTCGATTTCCAAAATAAGTAAACACCTAAATAGATTTTGGACAAACATTCTTTAACAAGGTTAAAAGATGCAAAGAGTTTGGTTTGTACAATTATATTTAACCTATTACAAATTACAAAATAAATAGGTGATCAAAGGTGAAATGTCGGTAGTTTTGAGGACCATTTGAAGCTCATATGGTACCCAAACAAACTAGAACTATTAAAGGTAAAGTTTAAAAACAATGAGATAGCCTCCATTTTTTAGTATTGAAAAAACCACACACTTCATTGCCCAAAATATCAACGATGAATCGAGATGATCATTGAATCTTTGATTTGCTTCTCTTAGTGTTTTAAACCAAAAAAAAAAATACTCTTTCAAAACCTATCGCCTCCATTTCCTAGTCTCTTTCCTTTCTCCGAATTCCTGAACTACAAAGGCAAAAACCTAAACAACCTAATGCTAATCTATCAAGAGATATTGGATGAATTTAACTCAATACTCTTCTTAAATGAAGAGAAAATGCTTAATTGACGAGTAACAAACTATTCTACGGAATGACTATGCACTAACCATTTATCAAATGAAAAAAACAAGCCAAAACGATGATGTACTAACTGGAATAAAAGAGCTTAGCAAACTTTGGATTCAGAATTTCATATAGTCACATTTATTGGACAATTATTTCGATCGAGCATGATTCACCATTATCTAGGATTGTGAGAGAAGAGTAGACTATCCAATGTCCACTTGTCGATTATGAAGACTAAGGAGGCCCAAGAGAGGAGAGATGGTTGACGATTGAGGGTTGTCCGAGGACTAAGGAGGAGGAAAAAGGTGGATAAGTGAAGAGGGATATGGTCACGTGGCCGATGGTTTAGGGATTGCAATTTGAGGGAGACGAGTTTTTCAATTTGGGGGAAACATTTGCAATTACATTGAGCGAGTGGGCATTGGTAGTGAAAAAGGACCGAAGGAGGAAGAAGTAGACTAAAGACAATGAAAAGGGGGATGATGAGTAGATGAATTGTCACCGGATGATTGAAGATTGATTGTGATTTACAATTTAGAATTGGGAGTTTAGGAGAGATTTAAGGCTTAGATTTCGATGGAGACTAGAAAGCGTAACTCATGAATATGAGGCAGAGTGGAGTAAGGAAGTAGAGTGACTTATCATCCGAGAGGGAAAACTAAAGGGATGAGTGAGTGATGAGTCAATCAGATTAAAGAAATTTTTTAAAAAATATATATTTTTAATAATTTTGGTTTTTTAGTTTAATCAATTTTTTTTAAATGAACTCAAAACGAAAAACCCATTATATTTCAATTTTTTTAATTTTTTTAAAAAAACCACACCGAAATTGATATTTTAGTGCTTATTCGATTTGGTTATTCGATTTTCATCGAATATTAAACACTCCTACCCGTAATCAAGTGGGTAACCCTATAGTCCAGTCCTCTTTAGTCATTTAAACACTTCTTACTCATCAAACTTATTATGATGGTTTGTGAAATTGTAAAAGGTAGGGTTTCGTGAGATGACGATGATTAATATTATTACCATTCCTTTTCTAAAAGCCAAAGGTTACATTGATGTGAATAGGGGCTATAAAATGAAGGAAAATCTTACATGGGTGTACTGCTTGATGGAGCTCGGGTAGGGATATGCGGTGGTAGTGAGTAATTGGTCTCCAAACTGGTAGAGTAGTATCCTTTTGAAGCATAATAACCGTAGAGATTAGCTTGATGATACCGGTTCCGAGTGCCTTCTTCCTTCAACGACTCGGGTAAGGATCTTAGACTTCTAACTTGCTTATTATCGGTTTCTCATTCAATTCCTTCCTCAACCTCCTTTGGCTATTAATCTCCCATTTAATTCCATAATTTTCTTTTTTCTTTATTTTCCTCCAATTCTCCTTTTCTAAAACCTTAATTCTCTCGCTCTTTATGGGCCCTCAATTCTCTTCTCCTCCTCATCTAAACCCTAAAGGCAAGCCTTATTTATAGCCAACGACCCCTTGATCAATGCTAGAATCAATTCAAACCTCCTTCAACCTCTAATAAATCATTCTTACCTATTGTCTAATTTAGCTTTATATGAACAGAGTCAAAAATTTATGCTTAAAACTATGCGAGTGTGTTTTGTGTGTGCTTTGTGTGCGGGTATAACATGATAAAAAGGGATGTATATTGCAATTTCTTAATGGGAATTGCAATACAAGGAAGTGCTAGAACCATTGTCCTTTCTAACTCCGTTGTCTTTATTAATAAAGGTGAACAAAGCCAAAGAATGGTAGAATGCAAGATCAAACATGCTAGAATTCTACCGAAGGAAAATTTAGACGACAAGTCCTTCGAGTGATCCGAATTGGTCTTGTCGTCTATGTCTTATGTCGATTTAGGTCCCTGCTAGATAGATTTTATTTCAATTATACCCTCGAGATATGTAATTATAGTCCTTGTATTTTTTAATTTCTTTAATTAAGTCTCCGTATCCCGTAATTTTAGTCTTGAAGTTTCAATTGTTTCAATTGTACCCTCAATTGCTTTAATTTTAATCTTGATTTTATTCAATCATGCTCCTAATTAACTACACCATACAATTTTTAGATTTTTTTTTGTATTTTTTATTCTTTTTTCCAATTTTTTGTTTTTTGTTTTTTGTTTTTTTTGTAATAAATTCCAAAATAAAATAAAATGAGAATAAAATAAGAGGTAAATGAAACAAATGAAAGAGGATAAAAAATGGGATATATATATATATATTGAGATACTAGTTTAAATGAATATTGATTTTTTTTTTTTAGATTTAAAGAATGATTTCAAAAAATAAAAGAGACAAAAAAAAAGTAAATGGATACGGATGGTGGACTTAACGAGTTATACGTAGAACTATAAGCTTTTTTATTATTATTATTATTATTAGAAAGAGAACGAAGCCTTAAAAATTACTAGAAAATCATTTGAATTTTTTTTTTTACAAATATCATCTAATAATAATTTCAAACAACCAATCGAAGCTTGTAAGAGGTGATGAACTTCAATATAGAAAGCATTAGCGTAACTAACTATTCAATTTGCATACATTTGTTCCTTTCACGAATAAATATATCAAATTCTAACAATCCACGAGCACTCGTAGTAATATAAATATAAAACATAAAATGTACTAATTAAATATTTAAAGTTGACTCAATTTTTATTAATAGATCAACCGTTAATTTAGAGTCAACATCAATAGAATTTTAAATCTCACAAAATTTTATAGGTTTAATGGTGATTTAAAAAATATTTAAACTTTTTTGTACATAGAAAAAACCTATACGATTTGGTGCTTAATGTATAACTTATAAATAGATTCTTGGTATGTTTGAATATTTGTTTCATTTCCCCTAAAAGTTAATCTTTTTAGCAATCGTTCTTGCTAGGACAAATTAATGGTATGCTAATTGGATCTAATCGATCCAAAAGTACATAGTTCGGAGTAAGGGCGGACGGACATATAGTCCTACGAGGGCCTGCCCCCTCCCCCAACTTTTTTTTCCTATACTAAAAGTAACGTACGACCCCCTCTCCCTAACTTCTTTGTTTTTTTTCCTAAACCGAGTAACAAACCTAGCTCGGCAACCTTAACTTCTTTATTTTTTTTTCCTAGATCGGGTAACAAACCCCGCTCGGTAGCCTTTAATTTTTTTTAAATACACTTATGCGTAGTCCTATCCCTACCTTACCCTACACTTCAAAAGAAAAATCTACCAAATAGCACACTTCGTCGCCACTTGACACAAAACAAGCATGAATTTGGTTCTTATTTATTTTTATTTTTTTCCTAGACTAGAGTAAGACAAACCCAACCCTCTTTAATGTTTTTTAACCTTTACCTTTAGTTTCTTCAAAAGGCACAACTAAATCCTTTAATATTTACTTAATTTGATCCTAGTTACCTCCTACCACTACTAAATTTGTTCCTTCTTTTCTTTTTCTTAACTCTTTCTTTATTCAAAACACTAAAAAGAAA